AGCATTATCACAAGAAACAAAATTATATCTACAAGTCATGTTTGATCTAAGATATTGAACAAAAATCTATTAAATGTTCATGTTCATTTAGATAATGGCAATAATCATAAAAATAGAAGCCCAAAGGGCATTAAACTTATACACTCATTCCTCACATTGAAATATGGAACAAACAATAAACTATGGTAATTCGACTACCATCTAAGTCAAGTACATCGAACCCACGAATGCTATCTAGAAGATTTCACCGTTTTCAGCTGACAGATAACGGCTACTGCCCAAACTATCATAACGTTGCTAAAAGCGCAGCACTTGTACTTTTTCATTGTGACCTTTTCAAGAAGGGCCCTCTATCTCCTAGCAGTTTCACACCTTCAACATTCAGACGGAAAGTACAAATCACTATTACAATCGCATAACCTAAGAAAATATTTCCAATAAGAACATTTACAGTTACCCAGTAGTAACGCTAATAGAAAGAAATAAACAGCCTAAAAATGTAGTCATTAAATGACGACAAAAACAGACGTTTGATCTTCGTGCTTTGGACGACCTCTTGACAATATACCAACTTGGTGATCCCAAGAAAGTTAATCACAGACATTGTTATAATTTAAGTGGGTCTGTAGTCGTACACTGATTTAGGCTTTCGGTTCCTTTGCAGCTTATAATATGGTAGATAGAAAGAAAAGTAGATAAATAGATATGTGAAAATAATGCCAATAGACTTAAGCATGCTTTGCAAGTTAACTAAATCTCATTATATCATAGTTTTTTTTTGCTTCAGTAAATAATTAATCACATTATGTTTTGTAAGACATAATGTTTTCTATGAAAACTGAATTGATTTTTTCTATTTTTAAAGAAAAACTTAAGCCCACAACTTTTGCCCAAACCCGAGATAAAGCAAATATAATTTATATTTGCAGCCAATGCTGCAAATCCATATTAATGCATATTAATAACTCTTTAGTAATGCATAAAAGCTGGTTTTTGCTGCGTTAAAAATAAGTCAAGACTTGAGATAAAATCTATTTATTCTGTCTTAGAAATAAAAATATTTTTTCCTCACAACTACTCGTAGAAGAGTATTGCTCAGCTTAGCAGCGCAACAGCAAAAGCGAAGCTTGAGCGGATGCACGATGTTAGCAAATCGAAGCTTTTGGCTATCATGAATTGGGCAAAAAATGGTAACAGTATAAATATTTTGTTAACAGCATTTAACCAATTTTTGCTATTGTACAAATTTACCTTTCGCCGGTGTATTTTTATGCAATATTTTTTTTCGCTGCATAACATTTAAGAGATACAAAGGCAAAAAAAAATATAATGTCAGAGGAGCGTTAAAGTTTTGTAACTTGCAGTTAACTAACTATAGTATACGTACGTATAATGTAAGAAACCTTTTTTATGGTTTTTTGAAGGTGTGCACCAAGCAAATATTTTTCCAAACTAATGAGTTACCATTAAATGTCAATAATTCAACTTCAAAATGTAAACTGCATTAAAAAAATATTTTCTTTCAAATAAACTCTTTTGTATTTTGGAATTTTCAAATTAAATTTAAGTAATGAGAAAACGTTAAGTAACGCAAATATCTTTTATGGTGCCATAAATTCTATTTGAAAATTTCTTCTAAACAATAAATAAATGAAATGTATAAGTACTTTTTATGATTTCCACGAAACCAAAGTAAAAGGTTAACAAATTTTGCGAAAGTTTCACACAAAAACAGTTAGTATCTGTAAATTTGGCTATTACAGCACACCAAACGAAAAGATTAATCTGTAAAAAATAAAAATAGACATTGGCATGCAACATCTTGTGAATTGCACATAAATCATTCTAGTTCTAGTTTATCGATCTTCATTCAACAAAATATATAATAAGAAAAACTGCTATAATTTTATTATAATTTTATGGCAAGCCTCGGGAAGATCGCATGCAGCAAGTGGCTTATGAATTGCAAATGGCAATCATCTTTAAATTTATCCAACAGCACCAACTGGTGAAAAATATTCGGACCATGCTTTTTTATTATTTTCCTAACTATTCTTTACAATTAATAAATTCTACGTCAAGAATGTTCCGTTGGTGCTAAACATCGAATGTTTCGTATTGTCTGCGAAAGCAGAATTTGTTCTGCATTTTTTCTCATTTGTGCATTTTCTTTTTAAGGCGCTCGTGCATCTCAAAAGTAAGAAAATATCTCAGCATTTAACCTAATAAATAATACCGTCATACATTAAGACTGAAAAGTTTTCGGAAATTCTCATTTAAAATTCGCGCGCTGTATATTTTTCGATATTTTAAGTTTATGTAGTTTGGCAGCACTGTCCTTAATTACTATGCCAAAAATGAGCTCGATCTGTCAGACAGTTCGTTTACGGCAGCTGTTGAAACCAGTTCACCTCAGTAGTGCGTTGCGAAATGTCTTCGACGGTCGTACGACCGTCCTGGAAGGCTTTGTACCACTCATAAACTTGAGTTTTCGATAAAACTGATTCCCCATAAGCCTTTTGTAGCATTCGCAACGATTCTGCACACGAAATTTCGTTCGAAACACAAAATTTGATGCAAACTCTTTGTTCAATATTTTTTTCCATTGTTTTTTTCGCAACGCCCTACTGAGGTGAACTGGTTTCAACAGCTGCCGTAAACGAACTGTCTGACAGATCGCGCTCATTTTTGGCATAGTAATTAAGGACAGTGCTGCCAAACTACATAAACCTTAAAATATCGAAAAATATACAGCGCGCGAATTTTAAATGAGAATTTCCGAAAACTTTTCGGTCTTAATGTACACTGTTGTAGTAGGATTGATATGTTAACGGTTATAAGCAGTCTTTATTAATTATTTTTTATTTATTGCTGTTCTTTAAATTATTTCAACCTGTCTGAAAACTCGTTTCAAAAAGATTGTCACAATTCTTTCGTAGCCATCTTGCGTGTATACAAGTCTATACGTAATTCAGTTTTAATTGCAATTGGATTGTTTAAATAGTCTTCGAACAGAACAAACGCAGCTAAGCTTAAGCATTTGATCATAGTCTCAGATAAATATTATTACTTAAAATAGTTTTATCTGAAAGTATAATAATGTCAAGTTTAATAATGCCATTATACGTATAAGGTAGGTGGCTTCTAGTAAACCAAATCATACTCCAAATAAAATTGAAGAAATTTTCCTTTTTACGTCAAATATATAAATGAAATTTATGAGCGACCGTGGGATCACTATAAATCTCGATAAATTATTATTTTTAAAATTAAGTTAATGAAAGTAACTATTTAGAAATTATAACAGTTAATATTAGCAGTCCATATGGCACGAAATGAGCATTAACAAAAATAAAAATTATCAGTTTTATTCCTTAGCCCAATTCTTTAATTTAACTATCACTAACTATCTATCTTTATCTTCATGACATGTATCAATAACATTTATGCCTATTGAAATGCAATATCACGCCAATAAGAAACGCAAGAAGTCATTGAATAATATCTCAAAAAATCTCAAAACCGATTACCCAAAACAT